CATTTTTTTCATTTTCTTTAAAAACCGTATATTTATTTATCATGAGTCTTCTTCATCGTTAGAATTTATCCAAAATGGATCCTCCTCTTCCTCATCTTCGTCCACCAGTTCAGGATCAATAGTTTCTTCTACGAAATTATCACCGAGTTTAAAAACATCTTCGGCTTTCTTGGCATGTTCGATGTATTGAGAGCAGTCGCTTAATGAGTCAATATATTCGTTAGAAAGTCGTTGAATATCACTGAGTCTGAAGGAGGTGTTGTGGCGTCTTACATGGCCTTTTAATTGAGCCCAGCATAGTTCAATAGGGTTGAAGCAGCAATGCTTGATAGGGAGTCGAATAATTTCCACATCAAATTCACTTGCAGCAATGTTTGTCAAGTATTCTTTTCGTGGTACATGACTAAAGGCAATGTCGCGTAGTTCGCTGTTTTTCATCCTTTGATCGAAAGGAATGTCATGATCTTTGAGCCACTGGTGTAATTTTGCTTTTGGCCATGCTCTTTTCGGAGGAGATGATTCGACCGTGAGAACATTATGCCAGGTGGCATTATCAATAATAAGTGCAATTCGTTCATCCTTGCTATGTTTTTGTCGAAGTTGTGAAGCAGATCTTGAGATCCATTCGAGAAAATGCTTCGAATTCTATGAGAAGATGCAAAAATGGCGCGATTTAGGTTTAGTTTTTCTGCGAAAAATACTTTTTAAGAACTGAAGGATTTTATTAAGAAATTTCAGCTACGCTTTTGTATAACTCTGCTCCACCCTCTTAAGACCTTCAAAGAATTTTTGAATCATTTTGGACTATAAAAGAGGTTTAGTCAGTACTTTAGCAGATGTAAGTTACAGTTCAAATATCTCTTCTGTCAAGATCTGAAATTTCACAACTTTTTGGACACTCTATTATGGAACTGACCATATTGTGATCAACTGCACAGGTAAAAATGTCAACACTATCCTTGTGGAACCCCTCTTCATTAATCATTGCCGATATTGCCAGCCTTTTACCCTTGCCATCCCCTTTTCTAATACGACCAACATTCGCTTCATCCAACCATATACTTCTCTTTTCTTCTCCAACATTAACCCATGTTTCGTCGTGCCAGTAAATATGTGCTCCCGATGCTCGTAGATCATCAATACGACGAAAGTAAGCAGCCCTCTGAGAGACAAAAGAAGGAGCATCCAAAGGAACAGGAACTTTGGAAGTCTGCTTGTACGAGAAACCGAGTCGTTTCA